GATCATTTCTTAATAATGTAATTTCCTTTCCAAAATTCAATTCTTGTGCTTGTTTAAGCCAAAAATTCTTCGTGTGAAAGATTTCATCAGCCGTTGTCCATTTCTCACCAAAACGCCGCGAAGTATAACGGGTGTTAAAAATGAATCTACGTACATATGCAGTTATGCGTAATAGTCGTGACCACGTCGATACTTCATACGGAAGCGACCATGCTAATTTCTGAGCACCGTCCATTGCAAAGTGTACGTGGTTGTCAATACGCCGTTCTAAATCAACGTTTGATTCAAGGGGCCTTTTACTGTCAGGCCATTCAGTGGCGGGACACCACAACCAAGTGGGACCTTGCCACCATAGGCTGTGCTGAATTAAATCAGAAGCGGACATGCCGCGAGAGGCACAATCGGCGGGATTCATTGCCGTTGGAACGTGTTTCCAAGCAGCGTTCGGCAAAGTGGAGTGAATCTCTGAGACTCGATTGGCTACGAAGGTTTTCCAGCGAGAAGGAGTCGCGTTTAGCCATGCTAAAACGACTGATGAATCGGTCCAACAGAACGTCGGCACGTTCACCAGTTTCATAGCCTTTTGCACGAAATCCAAGGACCTTGTGAGCAGAACAGCGGCGCACAGTTCTAGTCTGGGCACGCTTAATACCTTGAGAGGGGCAACTTTGGTTTTTGCATACATAAGAGATACTTGTCGTTGGCCCACAAGAGATTCAACTCGCAGGTAAACGACTGCGGCGTAAGCAGCGTTCGACGCATCTGAAAAACCGTGAAGCTCGACTGCTTGAGGTTCATCCCCTAGTTTTGTCCAACGGGGGATCGACACGTTACCTAAGCCCGCTAATTGAGAAGTGAACAATTGGCATTTGGATAATAAATCACCAGTGAGGGGTGTGTCCCACTCCACCCTATTTAGCCAAAGTAATTGTATGAGTATTTTGGCTGTTATGGTCGCAGGAGCCACCCACCCCAAGGGATCGAAGATCCGTGCTATCAAAGAAAGAAATGATCGTTTCGTAAAAATCAAAGGATTCTCTGATCGAATCTGCACTCTAAATTCGTCTTCACAGGGATTCCACGAGATGCCAAGAATTTTTAAACTAGTCGTACAGTCAAAAGTTTTGTTTACGCGCAGTGCTTGTTCCGCCTCAGGGATATCATCCATTAGTCGAGGATCATTGCTTGCCCATTTATGTGGTTTGAAACCACCCGCCATGAGCATCTGTTTAACCTGATCGCGTGTTTGTTTTAACAGCACAAGATCCTCTGCTCCGAACATTATGTCGTCAACATATACTTCACTTTCCAGCACTGGAGCAGCGAGGGGAAATCTGCGTGACTCGTCGCGAGAGAGCTGTTTTATAACGCGATTGGCCAAAAAGGGAGCTGGAGCAGTCCCATAAGTCACCGTCAGGAGGCGATAAGAGTTTAAAATTGATGTTGGCTTGTCTCTCCAAAAGATGCGTTGATAATCAACATCCGATGAATGCATGCGAATTTGTCTAAACATTTTCTCAATGTCGGTCGAATATACATATTTATGAGAACGCCATTTCA